TTCACTGCACTACCTGCATCGACGCTCTCGTCTCTCCAGAAACCAATGAATGGATCACAGCATACAAAGACCTCTAAAGTTTCCATCTTCTCCTTCGAATACACTCCCAACCCCTTCTTCCTTGTTCAAAATTGCTCCAGAGTCGCGTGTGACCTTGCTTCTACTTCCACTACATCGCGACGCATGACAAGATCGAGGCATACAAAGATTTCCAAAATTCCACATTTCTCCTACCGCTTTGGCTAGCCTAAAACCTAAAGCCACGTCCATTCACGCACGATCCAAACCTTACCGCTCCCTCTGCCTCTTCTATTTCGTATGACAGAGAAGCCTTCGCCCCTTCCCTGTCCAAAACTCCAGTTCCTCGTTATTTCATACACAAAAGTCGCAGTCCTAGCTCCCTGTTCTCTTTGATCGCCCGCAATAGAGCTCGTCGATCCTCAAAATCTTGCATAGTGTCGCTTCCCTATTTCATTTTTGCACAGGGTTGCCAAGCCAAAGTAGCATTCATATCTCTTATTTGAGTGCCCCGTCTCACTCAACCTCAAGCCCAATTCACTTCTCCCTCCACCCTACCCAAACCAAACAACCCACTTTGTTTATTTCTGTTATATTTTATTTATTATATACTATAAAAAAATTAGCAAAACTAATTCTATTTCATTGATTCCATCGCCTCTCTGATTTTAGTTCGGCAGTCGTCGTCACGTCGTTGATCTCGCTCGCAAAGGTATAACAAAATGGGTTAAGGGTGAATTTTTCCTAAAATATTCATTTGATGAAGCTCAAAAACACGTCCAGAAAATTAAGTACTGCTCATGGAAATTGTGTAATCGTTTGAAAAATTTTTATAAAAAATAGGGGTTTAAAATACTCAACCTGGAAAACATGAGTGCATGTCAAAAAAATTAAATACCTTTCAAAAAAAGTAAAATACCTATTCAATTAAATTTGTGGTCATGACTGTCCTTTTTAAAGTGAATTTGAAGGCCTATAAGGTTTTTTAAGACCGTGAGGAGACGGAAATCGAGGAGATTGAACCTAGAGGTGGTGGGATTCGGGTTGAAAATGAGCTAAGGGTGCATATACAAAGGAAGAAGCAAATTGAGAGAACAGGCTCTGTCGTGCCAACAAGCCCATCATGAATAAAATGAAGCAAGTTTTTTCAGCAATGATTCCTATTTTTTCTACAAACAAATTTGCCGAACTCAAAAAGAATAAAAATCCTAAATATAGGTTTTGAATTTCTTACCTAAACACGGAGAAATCTCATTTTTCCTCACTGTCAAACGGTTCAAGCGCTAGCACGAGCACCTCACGGGCGCAAAATGCTTCGCCCGTTCCTCGACTTCCCCTTTCCTCACTCACACCTTCGATCCCCCCATCCTCGCTCACACCTTCAATCTCCCCCTTCCTCACTCACGCCTTCGCCCTTCATCCCTCGCATGTAGCTCCTGTACAATTGTCCATTTGATCTCTCTCTCTCTCTCTCTCTCTCTCTCGCTCTGTGTGTGTTTTGTTCGCTCTCGCTTCCTCTGTGTTTCACATGGAATGAAAAAAATGAGGGAGAAAACCCTCAGTTAATAGCCGCGGGGGGTGAGGCTTAGTTGATTTTTAATTAATTCATTTAAATTTTAATTTATCTTTAATTATGAATTTACTTAATTATTTTCACTTACCAATTTATTGAATTTAATTAAATAATTTTTTAATTAATAAATAAAATATTATTATTATTACACTCTCTGTTCTAACACTGCCGTTGTCGGTCCCAAGCCCGGATGAGAAAAGTGGAAAGTTGCGTTAGGTGGTCGACAGCCAGCGTAAAACTTGTCGAAAAAATCATGACATGAATCCTTTTGATCATTGTGTAAGTGCTAGGGCGTCCCCTGGAAGCGACGCGTTGTATAGCCTGAATACAGTGAAAAGTGTGCAAGGGCCGCTACACCGGCGCCCGGGTGTAGTGTTAAATAAGCAAGGGTTCCCACATTACGGGCGAATGCGGGTAAAGAAGTTAGTCCATGAAACTAATGAAACTAATATTAGGATAGGATCTTGGAATATAGGCACTCTCAATGGTAAATTAATGGAATTAGTTGATATTATGATTCATAGAAAAATTAATATCTTATGTATTCAAGAAACTAAGTGGGTGGGAGAAAAGGCTAAGGAGATTGATAATTTAGGTTTTAAACTTTGGTATTCTGGTAAGAGTCGCACTAGAAATGGTGTAGGTGTAATTATAGATAAGAGTTTAAAAGATAATGTTGTAAAAATTAATAGAGTTGGTGATAGAATTATAGCCCTTAAGATTATCATTGATACTAAGATTTTTAATATTATAAGTGTTTATGCTCCTCAAGTAGGTTTAGATACAGAGTCTAAAGATAAATTTTGGAATGACTTAGAAGACTTAATACAAATGATACCTCTTGAAGAAAGAATTTTTATTGGAGGA